TTTTTTTTTTTTTTTTTTTTTTTGGCACTTTCTTATCTGAACAGTATATCCCAAGTATTGTGATTCCTGCATTGCTTGCACATGCTAACCTATTCCATCCCTGGATTACAATATATATTCTCATATGAACTTTCAAGAGAAGAGGCATTTGAGGTACATTTTAATATTTATATAAATAAATAATTTTTATATTTATATAAAATATATAGTTATATCCTGTAAGCAATAATTGTAATTTAAAAAATTATGATACTTGTGGTTTTCATACTTTCAAAAACATACTAATTTGAAATTACTTTTGGAGGATCTGTCATAAACCAAATAAATACTTGAGACAACCCAGGACAACTTTTAAAAATTCTCTTTAAAAAGAAGTTAGGAGTTTATGCTCAGGGTCCAGTTTGCCACCAACAAAAGCCCAGAAAGTTATTAAGCCTATTTTGTTTTATTTATTATGATAAAGATAGGCATTATATCAATCCAGGTGATCACTATATCTTCCAAACTCATTTTAAGTTAAATACAAAAATTCTAAAGTTTTTTTGAACTGAGATAAATCTATAAATTTGAAAACATCCATTGAGTTATTATTTTACAAGCAATAATTCAGAGTTTATTAACTGATGTGCACTGTTAGGCACTGGAATACAAAAAATGAATATAATATAAAATTTTTGCCCTTCGGGAGCTGGCTTTTTAGTGAGAGGTGTCAGGTTTTTTTTTCCTTCGCAGGTATTTAATATGGAGTTTTCATACAGTTATAGGAATCGTATGTTACAGAACCTAAAGAAAAGAAACATAATTCGAAGACTTGGGAAGTGGGTTTTTCTTGTGTATACTAGGAATTGGCTGTTGAATTAAAGTAGCGTTTTTCAGAAGTATCTATTTAAATCCATATTGTTGACAATACAGTGAAAGCGGTGAAACTTGTCAGCAGATGATTAAGTTTTATGGTTGATGTCCACACTTTTGTAGCTTGGGACCAATATCAAGTTTCTGGGAAAAAAATCCTTCCTCTCTCCCCACCCTCCGTCTATCATTAAATCAGCTTCTCAGCCTGTTGGTGTTAGGTGTGCTCTGGGAATAAAGGTATATCACAGTCATTCTATTTTTCATTTTTCACTTATCAATCTGAGAAGAGTTACTTCTGCTGTTCTTTTCCCCTTTCTTTTCTTCTTCTTTTTTTTTTTTTTTTACCTCCCAGGGCTAGAAGCATTTAGATTGTTGGTTTATTTATATATTCCATAAGGGAAAGCCTGCACTTCACCGGCTACTGTCTTCAATTCCCAAGGCCCCCAGTTAGTGGTATGATTTCTGCATGAGCGAAACCACCTTTCCAGGCAGCCGGGGGAGGCTTGCACAGCCCTGGATTACTGGCTTTCCACTGACTACTCTTTTCGGAAAGTGACACTGGTCCCACGGAAATTAACAACCCTTGAACTCGGACAGGCTTCAAATCTTAAGGCCGAAGTGGAGATAAAAAATTGGATTCTTATGGGTTGTGTTACTGTTTGAGCGGGGCAGGAGGGAGTCAGTGAACGGATAGAATGTCAGATGGGGCTTTACGAAACGACTCATTAAAACGGCACGAAAAATAAACCTCTGCTGACTCCACAGAATGAAAAAAATAAAAAACAAAGCTTCAACAATCTAACTTAAAACAAAATTTAGGAAACGCAGGCGGCGTCTAAATTCAGTCTGGGTGCTTGCAAGACCACCGCCCCTGTCACCTCAGGCCAGAAGCTGGGCACAGGTGTGAAAACTTTGCAAAACAGCTTTCCAAGCTAATTTTCAACGCGCGGTATTTTTGCGCCCCCCGGAGAACTTCCCGGCGGAAAGCGGGTCGCGCAGCCCAGGGCTCCCCCGTCGCTAACCTTTCCGCCTTCCCA